TGCAGGAGGCAGCTGATCGATGTTTCTCTCTCATCGATGTTTCTAACTCTCTATCCCTCTCCCTTCCTCTCTGTAAAAAATCAATAAAATATATTTTAAAAAAATACTTTTCTGATCAAAATACAAATGCATATGTTTAGTTTGTCCTGATTCTATGTTGTTGGAGGGTTTTTTCTAAGTTTTCTAACTCAAATTTTTTTTCAAAACTGCGTTTTTAAAAAGAAACCAGAATGACTAAAGAGAACATTAGTAGAAAAAGTTTGGTCCAGATAATTTCAACAAATCTACACGCACTTGCTCCTCCCTTCAGGTCTTCACGAAGCCTTTCTCCCTGCCCGGCTCCTCTGACAGAAAGGGGCTGAGACCCAGGGCTTGGCCTGGCCTTTCTGATGTGACCAGCCTCTACAAGTGGAAATGGAATAATCATGGCCAAATACAGCCACATAGGCAGCTCAGGCAATCATTCGTGGTTTTATATTTTGATTATGGGACCATGAGGAGCATACATCTAGCTCTCATTAGTTCCATGGTCTATTTGGGGGGCATTGTAGTGGCTTGTCCTCTTGTTTAAAGGTGTCTTTTTTTAAATTTCTAATATACTTACATTATAAAGACTTTTCAGTGCAGCACTTTTACTAACAACTGAGTAGTAGATTTAGCCTACTACTTTTCTGTATTTTGCCTTAATAATAGGAGTTATCATTTACTGAAGGCTTATTTGTGCCAGGAGTTGTTCTAAGTTAAGTATATTAGCTTACTTAGTCCTCATTTAAATAACTGATTCCATGAGCCTGATGCTATTACTTATATCCATTTAACAAATGTGGAAATGCATGTGCAGTGCTATCTGAGTTACATTGAGCCATTATGTTATGTTGCCTTACACTTTTGATTTTTAAACCTAACATTATTCTCTAAATAAAAAGGAAGGCCATATGTAATGATTCGGTTTAGCAATTGATTCTATTTTCAATAAAACTAAACAATTTCTTATAATACTCTCAATGTGCCAAGCCTGTTGTAAGCACACTACACAGGTATTAATTCATTTAATCTTTGCTCCAGTGCTGTGGGGTAGGTACCATTATTATTCCCATTGTATGGGAGGGCAAATGAAGACACTGAAAGGTTGGTAACTTGCCCCTGGTCATCCAGCTAGTATGATAGAAAATTTTTATGGTGGTGGTGGTGGGGGGGCGGGGGGTAATGCATCTGCCAAATTGGAATTATTTTAACATTATAGTCCTGCCATTGCTTTTTGCCTTTAAACAAATTACTCCATCTTTCTAATTTTTAGCCACCTCATTTACAAGTAATGGTTGGCAGTGGGAAGATTCCATGATCTCTAAAATCCCTTCCAATATTTCCCAATTGATTTGGTACAACAAACCCTGCAAAGTCGCATGGAAAAAAGTCTTGTTTATGCCAGCCTGAAGACTTATCACAGCTTTGAAACTGGCTGTATGTTCTAACACTTTCTGCATATCTTCAAGAATGGTTTCAGGAAAAGGATCTAGCAGTAAGCTAAAAATGTAGAAAATATTTTGTTGACTTTCAGAAGTGCCAATTTCAGCTCAGCATCTGCCAATAGATCCAGATAATCCTCCACACTATAATTCCTGGCTCCACCACTCACCAGCTGTGTAACCTGGGCAAGTACTCTATTGTCCTGACCTGAGCATCTTTCTCTGCACGATGGGGATAATAATAATCCTACCCCAATAGAATTGCTGTGAGAAGGAATCGAAATAATATGTGTAAAGCATGTACAACAGACCTTGGGCCATGGGAAGTAGTGAGTAAAAATTTAGTATTATTATTGCAGATGACCTTTGTTCCTAAGAAGGGGGAAATAGTAAATTCCAACTATTGTCATAGTTGTAGAGGATCCTTCTGAGGTCTGATGAAAGCCCAGTCTCCCAAGATTTGGAAAACTGGGCTCAACCTTTTTATCTTCAGGAGCAAAAAAGAAAAAAAATCCACTTAAATTGCTCAATGGTTAAGATAGATGTGACTTGATACTGAACTATATTAGTTTGGTGAAGTTACTTAATTTCAGAGGACCTGTGCACACAAGATCAATATGAACTAGATGTTTTTATTTAACCTGATTAAATTAACTAGCCAATAAGTATCATTAAGTCTAGTCAGTTGGACTGGATTTTCTAGTTTGTAAGGGATAGATTTAATCTGTCTCCCGCTCTTTAGTTAAAGAAGTAGTGGTTTTATTATTTGCTAAAATTCTTACAGTATATTTTCTGAGGACTGGAAACTATATTTTACAGTATTAGAATTTGATTTTTCCTTTTAAACAACTCACTAATACAGTATATTAATTACTCAGCAATTTAAACAACTCATCATATAATATATAAATTACCCACTATGCAAGGTAATAGAGAAGAAAGCCTAAGGACATTTGAATTCTTTTTGTGTGTGAGAAAACATGTGAGACTTGACATTTAACACTACCTGGAGGTCTGATTACACTTGCTTGTCACTTTTACTAGTGGAAACTCACTTTTGCTATAAAGAAATGCCCAAATAAATTAATCCACAGTTTTAAAGTGCGTTATTAGCTTAATGCAGATTCCTGGGAATATACTAGGTCCTTTAAAATTGATTACAGAATATTATAATAATTTATTAAGTATATTCACTGCAAAGTTGTGTGTACAAATATGATATGATTATATCATGGACAAAACAAACACCCTGAATTTAGGTAAAGCTTTCAGAGCCAAAGGCATTCATAGAGATTACTTCACCCACCAGAGACCCAGAGGGGTTAAGTGATTTGACTAAGTTATAGAGAATAAGAGGATAGTCTAGACTTCAGCAGAGGCTTTCTTGAGCTCAACTTGAGGGACGTCCTACTCTTCTACTGCATGTATTCAGACAACATATTATAATAATAATGGCAATAACCACCACTTATTAAGTACATACTCTGAGCCAAGTGTTCTGCTCAGCTCTGTACTTAGAACTCTTTGTCCCCCACCTCATAGCTCTATGAGGTGTGTTCAGTTTCTTCCATTTTATAGATAAATGACTGGGACTCAGCACTGTGGCTTTCAAAGCTATGCAGCTAGCCCAGGAGGACAGCTGGGGGCCGTCTCACTCTTACATCTCCGTTCTTTGCACTGGACTCACTGCTTCACCCATGGGGACCAACATGACCACATCTTTGAATTTTCCTTTAAAATCAGTATTTTAATCTCTTGCAATGAGAGACTTGGCTGTGTGCAACCGCAGAACTTGTATCCAAGGGGCTGAAAACAGTGACACCATTCCCAATAATAGCTCACATTCCTGAAAATTAACTCACTGGTTTTTAATAAAATCAAGTGTAAAAAACCTACCACATTATTTTAACATTATCGTTTAGTTTATGTAGACCATGGATTCAAGAATATGAACTTGGTCCTGGCTGGTGCACTCAATGGTTAGAGCATCAGCCCTTGAACGGATGGGTTTCAGGTTCTATTCCCAGTCAAGGGCACATACCTGGGTTTTGGTTGGATCCCTGCCTTGGTCAGGGTGTGTGTGGGAGGCAACCAATTGATGCATCTCTCACATTTGTCTCTCTCTCTCTCTCTCTCTCTCTCTCTCTCTCTCTCTCTCTCCTTCTCCTCACCCCTTCCTTCCTTCCCTTCCATTCTCTCTAAAAATCAATGGAAAAAATTTCCTCAGGTGAGGATTAACAACAACAAGATTATGAACTAAAAATAGTCAACTCCAAGAGGATGAAACAGGTGCTCTGTAAATTAATACATGGAGGTGAACTAGAAGCATTATTAATAATTACTATTTATTTAATGCTTAATTCTTTTTGAAAGAGAAACTCCTAAATGGTTAATACTATCTCTATTTAAAATTTAAAAATATACTGGAAATTATTTGAGTGATGATGGCGCTGAGCACTTTAGGGACAATAACTACAATCATAGTAGCTGTGTCTTAGCAAAATATTTTAGATTTATTAGTCAAACTGTTAAATGTTTGTGTTAGAAGCATTAGTTCCATCCAAGGCAAAATGAGGCGATATTTTTTTGTTTCGAAACTTTTTTATTAAAAAAGATTTTTAATAGTAATGCTATTTTCAATACAGGTGTCATGGTACTCAATATAGTATTGTGTACTACTTGATATAGTGAATTTAAGAATGTAACAGTCCAACTAGATTCTGGCCCCCTCTCTCTCCATTAGCAACCCTAGTAGCAAAATGTAAATATCCTTTTAAAAAATAGAGAGGCCTTTGGGCAGTTGGGTGAGCAGAGTGGGGTGGCATAAGGAAAGTGCTCTTTCCTGACATACTCATGCTTTTGGCTTTGACTTCATCTAGTAATATCAGTTCCCAGAGAACTGAATCAAACCCTTCTATGATCCGCAAAAGCGCAGGAGAAAAAAAGCTTGTCATTCACAAGCAGCTATGGACAAAACCAGCAGCAGAATACAGGGTTAGGGAAATTAGGGATTCAAAAGAGAAGTTAAAGTGCACAGTTACTGTAAAAATATATTATTTTGATCCTAAGAAAATTAAGAGCATTTTATCTAATGAACTAGATTGCTGACCTTTTAATACATTTGGTTTTCATGGACATACAATCACCAGCGGCCATAGAAGACTAGTTTGCTTTTTAAAAATTGCTTGGAGTTATCTACAGGACTCTTGTGAACACAATTCAAGGACAACATTCTGCAGCTCTTTGGGTATTGGAAGATTCCCTCCGAGAAGTCCACAAGGGAAGAGGGTGAGCCTATCTTCTCACTCCTTTCCCCAGGCTCCCTCTCCCTAATCCCCAGTACTTTCCAGTTCTCCGACCTCTACCCCTGGGGCGTGAGACCGGGAAATCATGAAGAGTTTCTCCTGGTTTGTAAACTGCCTCTGCACTGGCTGGGGTGGCTGGTCCCTGGGTGGCCCTTGGCTGGCATCATCCGGGAAGGTCTCGGGAGGGCTCTGCTCCTCCGCGCCCTGGGCGGCGGTGGCCTCACAGTCTGGACTTTTACTGGCTCCTGCGTCCACAACCGACTCCAAGGAGGTGCCGGCCTCCCGCAGGGGGCTGTAGCCTTTATGGCTGCAGGATAGGTCCTCGGACTGGGAGCTGGGCGAGCCCAGCCTGGCGGGGGGCGAGTCCTCCAGTTCCAAGGGGGGCGAAGGGGCGGCAGCTTTGGCCAGAAGGTTCGAGTCCAGGTCCACGCTGCCGGGGAGGGC